CACTCGGTACTTATAGATTTCATTAGGTCTTTAGGGAATTCGCTAAGTAGCGAAACAATATCTAATACAATATTGATCAGATAAAGAGGTAAAAAGGTACCTTATAAAACAAACATGTCGGTCTAGAAATGGGAGAAGACTTGAAATTACGTGTACACTGTACAGTCCCTTTAAAGAATGAAACTATGGATAAATGTTTAACCTGAAAATGTGCTTTATAAGTGTATACTGGGCTTGTGAACTGGGTTTTCTTGCCAACAGTTTCAGCAAAAATGATTATCTGCTCGAACAAGAAAACAGTCATCTCGCGAAACCTAAACAAACAATATATCTAAAATCTATACTTTGTTTGTTTGTCTGTTTGAATCGTCAAATGGCTGAAAACGATCAAGCCCAAATTTTGTGTGTGACCCAGGGAAGGTTTACGGATGATTAAGATTTTAAAAATTTGCCTCCAAAAAATTTTGCTTTTTGTAAAATTTTGAAAATCCTAGAAATATTTTTTTTAATGTGCAAGTACTTTGAGAACATTCTCACAGACAGAACAACAATTAAAAGAAAATGGAAGCGAAGCGCCCTAAAAGTCTAGTATACAATATTATATCATTTATTTCTTAGTTCACTTTTCTCATTTTTGTCCAGATATGTCCGTGAATAAATATGATATTAGTGTAAATTGAAAACCTATGTTCTTTGAGTTTACACGAGTAGAAATCCTTATTATATTTGTGCAGTGTGCACTGTACATGCACCACTCTCCAACTACAGCTTAGGTTTTATAAAATACACAATCTATATATAATTTTGGCTTGTCTGTTTGTTTGTATCCAATAAACGTCAAAACGGCTGAACCGATCGGGCCCAAATTTTTTGTGGGACCTCACGGGACCACAGGGAAGGTTTATAAATGATAAAAATTAAAAAAATGTGTTTTAAAGGTTTTTAATTTTGTAAAAAATTAAAATTCTTGAAAATCCGCGAATTTTTTTTAAAAATCCGCAACATTTTTTCTTCTTTGTTATAAAATGTAAACAAAAAGAACATTTTCACAATCTACATAGAAGATGGGCGCGAAACGCCCTAAAAGCCTAGTGATGCTAAATTTACAGAACTAGGTTTTCAATGTACTTCGCGCACCTTTTTTTAGAAACAATTTTATCTGATAACCATTGCTCTTAAATCTGCACTTTTCATTGTAAATCTTTTGCAGATTTTTTTTACTTCTGCGCAGTTTTGAAAACAAGTAATGTAAAAAAATCAAGATTCTTAGGAAAAAAAGAACTATTTGGTTTACCTATGGTTTGGAGAACTAGAAGGATCATCAGTACACAGTAGTGGTCCACGTAGTAGTAGTTTACCCTGAGCAACTATCTTACCCTAAACAAGAACAATGCTATCACACAATCAGCAGATTAATTTTCAATTCAAGGGAATCTTCCTGTAAAGAGTGACATGGCCGATTCACAACAGTACCTTTAACAGCTTTGTCTGCTCAAGAATGAGTGAGATATCCATGTTTATATTTTGAAAAAAGTATTATTCCAAATGTGGTTTCTTTGCTTAGGGGATTTGTTAATTTCTGTGACAGAAACATTTGAGTAATTTACCAGATATAAACGGTTTTCAACTTAGAAAAACATTACACTACATTAAACTACATTATTGATCAGATAAAATGAGTGTTAAAATCACGTGACATTACATCGAAATTCCCTTTAAGAATTTAACTATATACAGAACTATGCATCATAAAACAAAATTTTATTTAAATTAATTCTCGGACTCTCTTAGGAAATTTTAACAAAATATTCAACATTTTGGTCGATGGAAATCCGAGAATGTTCTAAAGAAAACATTATCAAAATTCTTAGAATTGTCTACTTTTAAAGTTTTTTTGTTAAATACAAAATCATAATTCTGGAAAATCTCCTTAATCTCTATGAATAAATTCTAAACTATTTTAAAATTCATTTTAAGAAAAATAATATTCATCACATTCATCAATTCAATTCAAGAACTTCTAAAATATTTCTAAAAATGAGTAGATAATATTTAAGCTAACCTCAAATCCTTGTAACCGACCAATATCCATCATATCGTTTGCCTGGTTGGGTACCACGGTCATCACCTTTAATAGAAAATATTTATAAGATTCGAGAATGTTTCAAGCAGTATATTTTATATATTATGAGCAGTGCATAGGATCTGCATCTGCGTATCCACGTCGTAAAATATCAACCAAAAACTGAAAAAACCTTTTGCACTAAAATCTGAAAGGTAGAAAAAAGAGAGAATATTTGAAGTTTCTTTAATTCTGATTGATTCATCAAGTTTTAGCATAAAATAAGCTAAAAAAGAACAAAATAATTTGAAAATTCGTATTTTGTTAAAAAAAAATCCTGGTCATTATTTCTGGGGGGATCACGGATCCGCACCAAAATAAAATGGATCCTAAGCACTGATTTAAATATGTTGTCATTTGAAATCTGTGTAATGAGTAGATATATATAATATAATTTATAATAATAATAATATATAATACTAGCTGAAGGGCCCGGCGTGGGCGTGAAAAACAAAAAAAGAATTTAGAAAAAAAAAGTTTTGTAAAGGCATGAGAAAAATATTTAATCGTTTGATAATTCATAAATAAAAATCTTGAGAATTGATTATCCTTTGTGACATACCATATATATTCAAAATTATTAATCTAATTTCTATAAATTTATAATTTCTAAAAAAATTATTCAGATTTGATTTTTTAAAAGTCGTGACAACAAAGGTACAATGTACATCTTATAATGTATATATGAGGTTTGGTCAATAATATTATATAGTACAGTACCTTGAATGTATATATATTATATAGTATAGTACCTTGAATGTATATATATTATATAGTACAGTACCTTGAATGTATATATATCATATAGTACAGTACCTTGAATGTATATATATTATATAGTACAGTACCTTGAATGTATATATATTATATAGTACAGTACCTTAAAATGTATATATATTATATAGTACAGTACCTTGAATGTATATATATTATATAGTACAGTACCTTGAATGTATATATATATTATATAGTACAGTACCTTGAATGTATATATATTATATAGTACAGTACCTTGAATGTATATATATTATATAGTACAGTACCTTGAATGTATATATATTATATAGTACAGTACCTTGAATGCCTGTTCTAATGCTTTGGCCTCTAGAGTAAGGTTTGCCCGTTGAGAATGTTTAAGAATGGCCTCTAAGAGCATATGGTATTTAGTTAACCTCTGGATAGGTTTAATGAGTAGATCTGTGAGGCGGAGTTTAAACCCGTATTTTAACCGTATCTCCTAAACAGAAGAAAACATTAGTACAATATTTCAAGTAACTGTTTAATATAAATTTAGACTCTATCTGAATGAAACGGGTTGTTTAAAAATGTTTTTAATTCGGAAATTATACAGAATAAAATAATTATTTTTACCACCTTTTGACCACATTACCTAACTATGATTCCCCCTACAAAGGGAGGTTAGGTTACTTAACGTCCCTTGGGACAGTTACGTAAAATAACCACCCGTTCTGCGAAGTTTTCGCTGCGCTCTGGATGTTTTGAAGACAAAATCGGTCTTGGGAACCCTTGATAGAGTAAAATTCCCTTAACCTCCCTGAAAAGTAGTTGTAAATAATTAAAAACTACTTTACAGGGAAGTTTTTAATTTCCAGTATTGGACGTTCACAATTTTGTCGTCTGTTGAGATGCAGATGCGCTATTTTTTTCATGAAAACTTCTCAGAGCGGGTGGTTATTTTACTTAATTGTTCCAAGGGACGTAGACTAACATAACAACCCTCTGCTCAGGGAATCATGGGTGGGTAATGTTGGTCAATATACGGTAAAATAAAAGAAAAACTGCAAATCTTTGTGTGTCAGTAGAGAAATGAAAAGAGATTGTATTTTACATTGTATTTTTCAAGGGAGGGGGAGGAGGGGAGGGATATATATTTTACATTGTATTTTTCAAGGGAGGGAGGAGGGGAGGGATATATATTTTACATTGTATTTTTCAAGGGAGGGAGGAGGGGGGGGGAGATATTATTTTACGGTTATTAACTCAATCATTGTTATTGATTGAAGAAGGCTAAGTGATTAATGTGTTTACCCCTTTAAAAGTACATTCTATCCCCTTCTTGTATTGGTATATCCCAAATCCAATTATTATCTCTTAACTTTGTTAAACTGAGTAACAATATACCCACGGCAACCACTTGGTATAATTAAAACAAACAGTTTAGACAATATCCCCCTCTGTATACATTCACATTATACACATTATATTCAATCATATTCCATTTTGAAGAAAGAATAAGCAGAGGGGATTAACAATATATTAGTCCCGTTCTCTAGAAAAATGTAAACTGTTAAAGGGACTGTAAAGGAAAAATGAAAGGGGATATAGGCTGAAACCTAAGCGTTTTAGGAGTTGATCGAGACCCATGAGAATTCTATCTTATGTTCCTGTCTCGAGAAATTGATATATAACTGTGTCAAAATACGAAAATCTATAATCTTCAAGAAATAAAATTTTGTAAAAAATAGTAAGTTTGAACGGAACATATTCAGCAACTTCACAACCAATCTGATAAAAAACGATATCCCAGAGGAGCCTAAGAAACTTAGGTTTGTTTCTATTATTATTTGAATTTAATATTTTTTCATTTATACAAGATATAATTGATAATATTATTTACAGCATCACGTGACCAAAACTCCCACCAATGGAAACTCCTAAAATGCTTAGATTTTAGCCTATACCCCCTTTAATTTTTCCTTAACAGTCCCTGTTAGTAAGTGGTGAACTAAATAAAACCTATATGTACCTCAAAGTATGTGTCTATGTACTCTGAGACAATGAACTCAGATTTAGGTTTGTTCTGGCAGTACACTACATACATCTGGAACTTTCGTTCACACTTCTTAAAGAGGTTTCCTAGCTCACTTGGATTATCTGCACACCCACACACGTTCTTAGAGAAGTAACTAAACAACAATTCATTTATTAAATTGAAAACATTATTTTAATTACAAGCAAATAATAAAAGAAAAGCATGAAAGGTTCAAATCAAATGAATGATTACTGATAAGAAATGAAATGAATAAGCTGAGTATGTACTATATGAAGAGTAATATACTAAACATCTCTAAAAGCACATGCTTGCTATCCTATGTATCTGTTATATTCCATGTAAATATATCTATATATAGCAATGTTTTGATTTTAGGTCCAAGTGTAAGAAAAACAAGTTAATTTTTTATATAATGTAAATTCAAAACTTTTTAAATCTTCTCAATAGCTCTTTATAAAGAGGAAATATGAACTAAAACATGAAATATTTCTGTATAACGTGATTAGTTGTAAAGAATGATTTAACTTACTCTCTGTGCCACTCGTAGATCATCTCCAGGTTTCCAAATATCATCCTGTCCTTCCCTTGCTTTAAATCCTCCGGCATAGGTATCTCTGGGTTCTCTTCGTCCTTACTCTCCCTCATATAGTAGATATATTGTGCACACTGAGCCAGGTCGGAGACATAATCCTGTTCACTCTCAACTAGTTCACGGACCCGCCAACCTCGTTGCTCTAGAGCTCTAGCTGCAACCTCATCCTCTACACTTCCATCCTCCTCAGCTAGTCGTTCTTCAACTTCATTAGGCTGGGTGGAGACTTCTTTACAACTCTCTACACCATTACCATTTACCGAGATGCCAGATTCCTAAACATTCAAATTTTAAAATATTATAAAAAACTATATTCCTGAATTCGAAATTGATAAATGGCGAGAATTTACATTGGATAATATAAAATTCTCTACCTTTCTCTACCTTTCTCTACCTTTCTCTACCTTTCGTCGCCATATTACTTTAATAAATAAAAAATTATTAGGTATAAAATTGCACTTTTGTGTTTAAGAGAGAACACAAAAATACTGAATCTACTTATGTAAAAGAAGATTCTAAAAGAAGATTTCTTAACAGAAGTAATGAAGTTCAAGCATAACGCGAAAAGAAGAGTAGAAGTAGATATGAGATAAATAAAAGAGAAGTAATAACTTAATAAGAAAAGAAGAACTGGATTAAAGAATATAAGAGAAGAGTAGTTTATGAAGAAAAGAAGAACTAGATTAAAGAATAGAAGAGAAGAGTAGTTTATAAAGAAAAGAAGAACTGGATTAAAGAATAGAAGAGAAGAGTAGTTTATAAAGAAAAGACGAACTAGATTAAAGAATAGAAGAGAAGAGTAGTTTATAAAGAAAAGACGAACTAGATTAAAGAATAGAAGAGAAGAGTAGTTTATAAAGAAAAGACGAACTAGATTAAAGAATAGAAGAGAAGAGTAGTTTATAAAGAAAAGACGAACTAGATTAAAGAATAGAAGAGAAGAGTAGTTTATAAAGAAAAGACGAACTAGATTAAAGAATAGAAGAGAAGAGTAGTTTATAAAGAAAAGAAGAACTAGATTAAAGAAGAACTGGATTAAATAATAGAAGAGAAGAGTAGTTTATGAGGAAAAGAAGAACTAGATTAAATAATAGAATATAAGAGTAGTTTATGAGGAAAAGAAGAACTAGATTAAAGAATATAAGAGAAGCGTAGTTAATGTGAAGGAAAAAAGAACTAGATTAAATAATAGAATATAAGAGTAGTTTATGAAGAAAAGAATAGATTAAAGAGAATAAAGTTTTCAAACCAATTATCTCATGCCAAAGTTTGAAGAGCTAAGAATCATCTTATAATATTTATAATATAATAATAACATTATATAAAAATTAAATAATTAGTATTTAGTATAATATGATGTAAATTTCTTCCTCTACTTCACCCAAAAAACTGAATAATATTTTCACAAAATAACTTCCACTAACATTTGGAATTTTTTGTCAAATTTTGTTGAATGATTCTGTTAAGGACAATTTGATGGCGGTGCAGTGCTCCAACAAATTTTGTTAAATGAAAATTTGAAATTTCTTAGAGTGTAGCTTTAAATAAAATTTTATTCTTTGAAATGTGGTTTTAGTTTATTTAATAAAGAAAGTTGGTTGCATGCAGTATATTCTTATTTAGGTTTTGCCCTCTATTTCTAACTTTTAACTTTAAACCGTTTTTCTCGAGACATTATGTCAATTTTCCATTCTCCAGTTTTCAAAACAGGTTTTAAATTCTAATACTTTTCAGACAGGAGAATAATTATCTTTTTCTAGTCAGAGTCTTAAAACTTTTTTTTGTAATAATAACAATAACAATAACAATAACATTAACAATAACAATAACAACAACAATAACAATAACAATAACAACAATCATAATCATAATCATAATCATAATCATAATCATAATCATAATGGTAATAATAATAATATAATAATTATTATAATAATAATAATAACAATAATAGTAATAATAATATTAATAAGGTTTGAAGGAAAAAGATTAAATTTACCTTTAAAGGCTCCTCAGTGCTTGGCATGGAGGAAATGGGTCGCATTGGTGGGGGAACTTCAACTTCCGGTTCTTCCTCTGGAGCCTCCGCCCCACTCTCACTCCGCCCCCTGGATCTGGTACTGGAGGGGCCTCGAGGTTCCTGTTCTCCGCCCCCACTAACACGGTTCCCCATATCCACAGAGGTCTGACCAAACTATACAAATTGTAAATTAAATACATTATTTTCTTGAATATTTAGCAGCAATTCAATTCTGTTCATGAGAACATGGTTTACATCTTTAAGGGGTTATTTACGTTAAATTGGGAAAATGAATGATTTCAAGAAAAAAAACCTTGCCCGCTAAAATCCGATTGTTTACCCCCCCCCCTCCCCCTTTTTTTAAAAATTGTTCCAAAGGGGGGATATCCATGTCATCGATTTTACTGCATTATGTAAATCTATCAATTTCTTTATTACTAATTATATTTTATAATTCATTAACGTAATAAAATATTTGTAATTTTTAATAATTATATTTCCATATTTCCATACATTTATAAATGTATTCATGACGTTGGTCTAAATAAATACTGTTAGGTGTACCAGTAATATCTACTTAATAACATCAATAAACTTTAATTATAACTAAATAAAGGGCCCGGCGTTGCCCGTGGAAAAAAATTAAATTTTTTTTAAAATTTGATTTATTTTTAGCCTATGAAACTCCCCGGCCACCCATTAGTGTCCACACAATTTTTTAGCACAATCAGTCCAGCCGTTTGGCCGGCTATACGTAACATATATATATATATACGAATGTCTTGCTTTATTATATAGATTTGTTTAAAAATAAAAAATCTGTAAAATTTACAGTTTTATTAGGAACTGACTGGAACTTTGAAGCCAGGCTGGGAAAAGAATACATTAACATATAATTATCATTTAATACAGGATATACTGCATTTTCATAAACTTGGTATTTCAAGATTAATCCGAAATGTATGTATTTATCTATATCTATTAGGTAATGAGTTGAGAAAAATAGGAATTATTATAAATATAGAGTTATCTAAGAAACCTTATTTATTCCTAATGGCATTAATGTAAGTTTTCTATTGGGGCCTCATTGGGACAAGATATTTGGAAAGTAAATTTCAAATAGAAGAAAATAAAATACACAGCTGCTGAACAAAACAAACTTTTAAACAAAAATTATGAAACAGAAATTAAAAATTATTAATTATATATATTATCTATTTGTCATTGCAATGGATATTATTAAGCGCGAAAAAGTTTTTGTTTTTTCTAGTTTGTTTTATTTTGATCGAATACTCATTACAATGACATAAATAGTTTTATTCAATTTTACTCAAATTATTTAAAAGCAGGTCGATAAAGTTATTTAATCACCCTGTTCAATCAAATTTTTTTCAATTTTTTTCCACGGCCAACACTGGGCCCTTCAGCTAGTTCCAAATAAAATAAATTTAGATTGTATTTTGTACATTGGATTTATAACTTAATGATAAATATATTGAGCATTGCTTAAAAAAGGCTTAAAATTATCTGAGAAAAGGCAATGTATGAGGAATTGCAAAATATATTGAAAGATTGAATTGATTTATTAAAAACTTAGTTAAAATGCAATTTGTATTATTATGGATATTTCCCAATATATTCAATATTTGAGAAAAAATGTGCTCAAAAATCAAAAAGAATTTAATTTTGACAATTTGCATGGAGGTTTGACATTGAAAATATGTATTAATAGAACACGCTATTTATCCCATTTTTTGTATTTAAACACAGTGGGCTTTGGAAGGGACCAAGTGCTAAAAACATTTTCAAAAGTTATTGATAATTTTCCAAAAAATAGTCGCCAAAATCGGCCCCCCTAATTTGTTTGATCCACACTTTACTTAAGGTGTCCTTATTACTTAACCCAAGCTGTCTCGTCTATTAACAAAACCTAACTTATTCTTTACTTATTAAACATAATTTTAATTGAACCTAATCTTAATCTTTTAAATACGAACATATTCTTAACCAAACCTAACATATTCTAAACAAACCCTTTTCTTAACCGAACCTATTCTCAATAAAACCTATTCATAGTCAAATCTATTCATAATCACACCTATTCTCAACAAAACCTGTACAAGTCCACCCTGTTCTAAGAAAACCTAAATCTGTTTGGTCCTGGGAAAAATGCAATTATTCTAAAAGCAATATTCTGTCTAAAGTATGGTATGATGGATGTGGACGGTTTCTAGAATTTTCAATCTCTTTTATCTGCACCAATTCATATCTTCAGATTTCCATATTCATATTCTTCAAATCCCATCTCAAGTTTTCATTTGAATTTGGGAAACCAAACAAGATGTAAAAACAAAAATACGAAATTATGTTTAAGGTTCTGATGGTATAAAAAATTATAAAAATGTCACTCAAAATATTTGATTTGATCCAACATCTTCTATTCTTATTGATTTTTACTCCTAGTGGAAAACCAAGTAATAAAGTTATATTAGACTGAGTTGCCGAACCAAAGAAAATAAAAAGAAAAAACATCTGAAAACCCCACTGGAAAAACACCATTGCTGGAGTAAAAAATAGAAAATTATTCTAATAAAAATATGTCAAACATGAAATGATTTTTTTATAACTATTGTTTTAATTTGTTTAAAACAACTTTAAGACTTTCCAACTTTCCAGTTTTTATGGTTTCTTTCTTGTTTTCCTTACAAGTAAATCATTTAATCTTAAATTACTTTTTCAAATTTATAAATTTTATCCACATCTGAACGGATAAACTTATCCGCCCATTGTTTGTGTGTGGCCGATTATATTAAAAAATGTTATAAAAAAAAAAAATGTAGATTTTTAATTATTGATAAAGCATCGACAAAAACAGAAAAATCCGTGAAATTTATCTTTATGACAAGGAAAAATATAAATGGTGGGTTGAAGAGTAACTTTAAAAACTAAAATTGTATTAGGAAAAAGGGACACAAAGCGACCTTAAAGCCTAAATACAATAGACAACTGAAGAGCCAACGATTGTTTTCATTCTTCATGGGTTCTATTTTTAGTAGAAATGTACTTTATATACTTTCTAGAATGAGATCTACTAGATATTTTAGAATGAATTCTCTGTTTTCTTAATGATCTAATTACATTAGTACGTTTAATCTTTGTATATTGTAATTGTATTGAATTGTGTACAAGAAGTACAAGATTAAGGTTGTCTAGTTTATTACCGGAACATTGTTTCCTAAGCTGTTAGATTTCTGTTTAAATTCCCTTGCAGTTTGTTCTGACAGAACCATAGTAAACATGGTGCTACATAACTGGTTGTTGATCTCAGCAACCCCTTGCTCTATCTTGCAACCACCATCACCAGGAGAGCTTGGGGAGCGGTTCTTTGTTACTTTTCTCATCATAGTTCCTCCGGGTTGATATCAGATTTAAAAACACATTTCTAGTCTTTTGATATATCATCCGTTAGATGAAAATCATTGGTATTTCTCTCTGCAAAAACAAACTGACATTTGAAATTTTAAATCATAAAACAAGAAATATCTAAAATACAAGTTGAGTCTAACAGAAAATAAAATAAAATAAAATTAAAGCTTGTTGATGTTGTTTTGAATACCCTAGTAGACTGAGTAATGTTGCTTAAACAAGATGATTCTATTCCAAGGCAGAAAACGTATTCGAATTTATTAGGGGTAAGATAAAGATATAAAAGAAAGCAACTGAATATGTGTTGTAAATATAGGAATAAGAAAATGTATAGTTCTAATTAAAATTCTAGAAGGATATAAGAGAAATTTATTAGGACAGGTTTTTAAGATATATTGAAATAGGGAAAAGTATTGTTTACTTTTAACATTTCATACTTTTTATATTGTTTAAAGACCCATATACTAGAAGATAATTGAAACCTTTTTCAAACCTTTCAATAAAGAAACAATTAGATTAAACATGACACGAAAGGTATGAGTGGAGAAGTATTCTCTATGCATATTTGGAGAGGGTAGGTATCCACTATGTATACAAGGAGAGGGTAGGTATCCACTATGTGTACTAGGAGATGGTAAGGTATCCTCTATGTATACTAAGAGATGGTAGGTATCCTCTATGTATCCTAAGAGATGGTAGGTATCCTCTATGTATACTAGGAGAGAGTAGGTATCCTCTATGTATACTAGAAGAGGGTAGGTATCCTCTATGTATACTAAGAGATGGTAGATATCCTCTATGTATACTAGGAGAGGGTAGGTATCCTCTATGTATACTAAGAGATGGTAGATATCCTCTATGTATACTAGGAGAGGGTAGATATCCTCTATGTGTACTAGAAGATGGTAAGGTATCCTCTATGTATACTAAGAGAGGGTAGGTATCCTCTATGTATCCTAAGAGAGGTAGATATCCTCTATGTATACTAGGAGAGGGTAGGTATCCTCTATGTATACTAAGAGATGGTAGATATCCTCTATGTATACTAGGAGAGGGTAGATATCCTCTATGTATACTAGAAGAGGGTAGGTATCCTCTATGTATACTAAGAGAGGGTAGGTATCCTCTATGTATACTAAGAGATGGTAGGTATACTCTATGTTTACTAGGAGATGGTAGGTATCCTCTATGTATACTAGAAGAGGGTAGGTATCCTCTATGTATACTAAGAGATGGTAGGTATCCTCTATGTATACTAAGAGATGGTAGATATCCTCTATGTATACTATGAGATGGTAGGTATCCTCTATGTATCCTCTATAACTGATCTACTCCGGGAGGATCAAGGATTCAACAAGCCTCTATACTATAGAGGAGACGGGATGCAGCCTCCGAATGTGTTACAAAGGGCAAACTTCAGTTCTTCGCTTTTCTTCAACTTTCTTGATAAAATTCAAACTTTTTACTTGACATTCAAAAACTTATTTATAAATTAAAAAATAAGAATAACATGTTTTGTTTATATTTTTTCCTTTTATTACTTGTTTACTGGTGAAACGGTTCAAGGTTACAAGACAAAGAAAAGACTAACTAAACAAAATAAATCTGAAAACAATTTAGAAATTTCAAAATAAGGCTACAGCGGTATGAGAAAGCGGAAAAGTTAAGTGTTCGTTGAAATCCAGTGTTTTATTAGTATTTCATGATAAATAGGTCTAAGAAAAGTTATGTTGATGGTGTTTTTCATGAATTCGAAATTTAAATGGATATTTTCGAATTTATGTAAGAGAATTTTCTTTGGCTTAAGAAAACCAAAATAGTGTTGTAAATTTAGATATAAATTCTTTTACATGTGTGCATTTATATTATTTGTGTTGTAAATAAAAATGTTATTAAGGATTATAAGAAACCCAGAAGATCTATTAAACATCAAAATTATTAAAAATCCTCTACGACTTTTTTTCTAAGCCTCCCGGTTATATGTGAATATATTTGAATACACATTTGTCTTATTAAAACCATATCTTGTTAGTGTTAATATCTGTTGGCTAACATAAATATGTCCACTGTTATAATAAGGACGACAATACAGACAATACATAATTATATATTCAAATATAAAATATACATTGATGAATATAACGGATATATATATATATATATATTTGTATATTGGATGTATTGTTCTTCAATTGATTAGTCGGAAGTAAGTGCTTGTTCTCCATACATTGTTTATACAGATACTTTAAATGGAAGGAGGGGGGGGGAGGCAATAACCTTTTCTTCTTTTCTTATAATCCCATATCATATTAGATTATCTCTAATCTTTAACGACAAAATAAACCCTTAATACTCGAAGAACTTATCATTTTCCGCAAGAAAATTCTTATTTAAGCCTTATGTTATTTTTCAAAATGATTTATTCGAATTAAATTTTCTTATTAGTCCCGAAAATCGCAATTTAGACCCGTTGACGGTCTAATATGATGTGGGACACCCTGTATTTAAACATGCGATATAGGGGAGGGGGGAAATTTATAAGTTAAATAAATTTAAAAAAAATAAATTTCTTCAATTTTCAAAAACTCAGTGACCCTATCTCCCCCCCCCCCCTCCTAGGGTAAAACATGTTGCATGGATACCAGTATAAATACTAAGCTATAATATTTATTGCATCATTAACTCCTGTTTAGTTTAGTTTATTGCTCTCAAATATATAAAATAAATCACAACAAGGTTGGACCAAAAAACAATACCCCCCACAGAATAAGATAGATAAATCAAATAATATTGTTCATTAAAATAAAAACACATCTTCTAATGTTTTGTTTTGGGACAGAACATGTTTTTTACAGCTTTTAATAGAACATCCTTTTGATTTATTGGGTTTTTTTTTACCAATAATTGAGATGTATTTAAAGATATGCCGTATATTTATCTAATTTTGAACATAAGGAAACAATAATCAGACTTGTCATTTCTAATACATGTACTTAACATTAAGAAGTTGATAATAAGCATAAGTAATATTGATAAAAAATTCTTGATAACTTTTTAATGATAAAGTTTGTAAAAAATTAATTCTTTGTTTCGTACTCTCTGAACTTAATAAACATATATGAGTTCATGAATTATAGTGAATCCTTTACAATAATTTAAGGATTTAAGGATATCTTTTGGAATAATATTTATCCCTTAAGAAATATATTTCTTCTCCCCGGACCCATTTCCCCCCTTGTTTCCCCTGACCCCACTCCAACTTCAATTATATTCTGATATTAAATTCCAATGTATTGTGTTGTGTATTATGGTCTCATGATGTTATTTTTCGTGTTTACAAAAACTTGTTGTAAACTCAAATGTAAATTGTACTGTACATTCAGACAATATTTATAAATTAGTAATTAAGAAGCAATGAATAAATCAGCCCCCCCCCCCTCCATTTATAGAAATAATTTGAATTCCGTTTCTAATTTATATGCCCGCATTGCAGTGATATCTATGTTTTTAACCAGATTCTTCTGTTATAAAGTAAACCATAAACTATTTCGTATAAAAAGGAGAGCTTACAAACTTGATATATTAAATGTACTTTGATGAATATTAAATGTACTTTGATGAATGTTAACTGTACTTTGATGAATATTAAATGTACTTTGATGAATATTAGGTGTACTTTCATGAATATTAACTGTACGTTGATGAATATTAACTGTACTTTGATGAATATTATGTGTACTTACATGAATATTAAATGTACTTTGATGAATATTAACAGTACTTTGATGAATATTAACTGTACTTTGATGAATATTAACTGTACTTTGATGAATATTAAATGTACTTTGATGAATATTAAATGTACTTTGATGAATATTAACTGTACTTTGATGAATATTAACTGTACTTTGATGAATATTAGATGTACTTTCATGAATATTAACTGTACTTTGATGAATGTTAACTGTACTTTGATGAATATTAACTGTACTTTCAAAAATGTTCAGTGCAGTATGTGTACTGTGTCTACACTCTATAGTGAAAATTGTTTAAAAGGATTAATTTTGTACTATTTACATATTCGATGGATGACATGAATATTTAAATAATTCTAACCTTGAATTTAGATTTTGAGATCTGTCTTTGTATAATAGTTCCATCATGTCCACCCAAACTGTGGGATTTCTCTAATCTGGCCTGGGACAACTTCCGGATATTCGGCAACCATTTCCTGTACAATAATTATAATTATATAACGCTGAACTATGAATAAAATAAATCTTAAAGGGACTAAAAGCGTAATTTCAAGTGACCTTCCATTTATAGAGTGACATGTCCGATTTATAACGATACCCTTTAAACTCTTGTTTGATCAAGGATTTCATAGATATTCTTATTTATATTGCGGGATACTAAGTGCCGAGTGAGTAACCGCGCGAGTGTACACTAGCACGGAGCGTACAGTGTAACCTGAGCACGCGATTTAAAAGCTTCGGCTAGAGCCATAATTCCTTAAACCCGACTTTTAGACCCAATCTTTGACCCAACTCTGATGACAGCTTGTGTCACGTGATTGAGAGCTGCAAGATCTTCGGCTCGACTTAAGGAGACCCAATGAAAATAAAACCGACCTTAGTTGGTTTTAGTGGAGAATAAGACTCAATGTTGAATCTTGTTCTCAAAAAAACTCGGAATGCGCCAAATAAAATATTAAACCGGCTTTTTGAATTTAACTCTGTGGAAAATAAGATGCAGCTCAAGCCGTAAATAAGGCCCAACGACAGCTTAGACCCGAGCCGTATTTTCCCGATTTTTTTTAAATCGCGGGCTCTGGAGTCTCCTCTTCTGGCACCCAATCTTTATCTATACAAATGAGGGTATATACCTAATCGTTGACCGGACAAATGTTTAAAGGGTACAGTTGTGAAACAAACATACTTCTATATGACTGGAAGGTCACTTGAACTTTCGCTTACAGTCTCTTTAACAATGTCATAACTTGATTGGTACTTCTTATATTTCTATCCAATGTTTCTGTAAAAAGAATTTAATAAAACTTTCACAGAACCCTGCACACAAATAACCTTTATTCTTTAGTAGAATTGATAATTTCTATGTATACAAGGTTTAAAGCACGGTGTTCAGAAAACTAGGATAGAATAAAATTAAATAGATTTTTAAGTTATGATTTTTAATAGTCCAGTGAACATGTACACAGCAATTGTGCAGTGTACGCAGACCAATTTCATTTATAAGTTGATTATTTAGGATAATAAAAACTATTTGCTTTACAGCACCAACTTCACAGAATATTGATTAAATGTCGTCTTTCTATTCCACTGCTGAGTATTATGGATCCCATAGTATTCTTCAGAACGAGTTAATAAACGTTTAATACACTGGTTTTTACCAGTTATTACTTGGATGCTATAATAAAATAATTAGACGCCAGAATATTGTTGCAAATTCAAGTTGATCCGGCATCCACAATTTGATCATCAGATATCGCATTTTCATAATTTGAAATCGTTTCGTTCCGTATTTGGCTACTCATAATGTTTACTATCCCTCGATTTAGAACAAAATTATTGAGTTTTTGCAGCAAAATAAAATTTTCTAATCCTGATATCTATTCAACCAAAAGCCTTGACCATTTCTATTTCAACCTGAGATAATTGTATTGTAATAGAACCCATAGTTTGAAATATCAAAGGTCTAAGACTATCTCTTGGGTGCAGACATGAAGGAATTAGAAATTTTGAGTTTGCTGAAAAACTCAGTTCCTTTGGTCAGCAGAGTTTAATATTTAGTTCAACGATATATAGTCTCATAAAAACTGATTAAAAAATAACTAGGATACAAATAGCATAAACAAAACTAATTAAAAAAAAATATTAATTACCCGCTGAATACTTTTCGTTTATTAATCGGTGATGTAGCTCCTAGTGCATCCAGAGATTCTGAAAAAAAAACTTATATATATATTTTTTTATTTACGCCTATTAAAAATTTAGTACTTCCAACATTGATAAATCTATCAACCAACCTATGAATTAAGATCTAAGAATTATAAAGAAAGGATAAAACAAATTCTGAAAACTTTCCTCTTTTCCATACATTATTTCTATGAATTCTCAAAATTAATGAATTTAAACAACTGAAAGTTATTCTTTGAGAATGCGTCTTATTTGAAATATTTTGGACATAAAGAGTCAATTGAGTACTAAGAGAAGCTGTAGGCATAATTTTTGAAATATTTTGGACATAAAGAGTCAATTGAGTACTAAGAGAAGCTGTAGGCATAATTTTCATTACATTTTCAATTTTTTACATCAATTAAATTTGTAATCGAAGGAATCTTAAACGATTTTTCTCTTGAAGTGGAAGAAAAATTGGAGAAAGTCGCAAAAAACACATTTCTTAATATAAAGGCTTCTTGTTCAATAATACCGTAAAAACGTCAGAGATGAAAATGAAACCTGATAGAAAAAAATGTTGATTTGCTTACAGAGAATTCTTTGATAATAAGAGCTTGTCGTAAATCTGGTCGGGTTGTTTAACAAGTGATAAAGTTTAATCAAGGTTCTCTTCTGTATTTGCATAGAAAATGTATATTTAAGCGAGTGTAAATACAACTATACAATGCAACCCAATCTGGAATATAAAATCCTGTCCTAAGCTTTATAAAACGAAAACACATTCTCTACTCCGCAGTTAGAAAGAAACGGATTTATCTAAAACAATATTGACCAATATTACAAACTTACAGAATCAGAAGGGAGAAGGGAATAGAGAACATAAGGGATTGGAATGGGATTTAAAAGAAGTGAAGAATAAATTGGATTCGAAAGGATTAGGAGACTTAAAGTTTTTGGACTGAAAAGTGACAGGATTTGAAGATAAGTGATTGGGGGACTATAAGTAAAGTGATTGGACCGAAAAGTGACGGAATTTGATGAGAAGTGAAGGACCAGATTTAACTAGAAACAATATAATTAGTTTTAAAGTAATAAGCATGACCGGATTGGTTTAAAAGATAAGTAAATCAAAAGTGTTGATATAAGAGACTAAGCAATTGTGATATGTGAGCGGATTAAAAGGAAGAGCGTATAATCAAAAGCAATGGGATTAAATTTAAAGTTATGGTATTATCTAGATTTGAAGTTATGTATGAAATCACTGTAAAGATATGGAATTGGAAGTTGTGGGATTATATTGTTTTTTGATTGTATGGGTTTATAGAGTTTTGAAGCAAGTAATGGGATTAAATCATTTTAAAGATATGGCATTCAACAGATAAAATGCTGTTAGATTAAACGTTTTGAATATACGTATGGGATTATTTAGATTTGATGTCGTGGAATCAGATCGTTTAAAAAATTAATTATAGTTATAGGACTGGATAGATCTTAAATTATGTTGTTTAATTAGAAGTAATATAGGGTAACAAATATAAGGTTAGAATCGCAAATTTTCGTAATCTGCTCCAGGGCTCCTACAGTGTTTTTGTAATATATTATTAAGAGTAACTATTGTAACTATGAGTTTATATATATATATATATTTATATATAATATTTTTAAAAGTAACTATTGTAGCTATGAATATATGTATACAACATTACTTTGCCCGTGAATTTAAAAAACACTATTTTTAAATTCGATTTTTGAAAACAAAAATATTTCGTTTTTAGCCTATGTTACCATGGGTTTCCTCCAAAAAATTACAGCCCATTCGATCCAGCCGTTTGAACAGCTATAGCTAGCATATACATACAAAAATATATAATATTATTAAGAGTAAGTAACTATTGTAACTATGAGTATGTTTAAGGAACTGGAGAGAACTGCTGATACACAGCCTCTAGTCAGCTAACAGGGCTAGATAGATACTTAGATATTAGACTCTACTCTTATATAAACCAGACAACTATAGAACCACATGTAACAGAACCATAATACCGTATATAATAGGACCAGAGAACCACATGTAACAGAACAATAATACCGTATATAATAGGACCAGAGAGCCACATGTAACAGAACCATAATACCGTATATAATAGGACTAGAGAACCACATGTAACAGAACCATAATACCGTATATAATAGGACCAGAGAACCACATATAACAGAACCATAATACCGTATATAATAGGACTAGACATGTAACAGAACCATAATACCGTATATAATAGGACTAGAGAACCACATGTAACAGAACCATAATACCGTATATAATAGGACCAGAGAACCACATATAACAGAACCATAATACCGTATATAATAGGACTAGAGAACCACATGTAACAGAACAATAATACCATATATAATAGGACCAGAGAACCAAATGTAACAGAACAATAATACCGTATATAATAGGACCAGAGAACAACATGTAACAGAACCATAATACCGTATATAATAGGACCAGAGAACCACATGTAACAGAACCAGAATACGATGTATATTAGGACCAGAGAACCACATGTAACAGAACCAGAATACCATATATAATAGGACCAAAGAACCACATGAAACAGAACCAGAATTCCATATAAAATAGGACCAGAGAACCATATGTAACAGAACAAGAATACCATATATAATAGGGCCAAAGAACCATATGTAACAGAACCAGAATACCATGTGTAACAGGACCAGAGAACCACATGTAACAGAACCAGAATACCAAATATAATAGGACCAGAGAACCACATGTAACAGAACCAGAGTACATTTGTAATATGACCAGATACCCATATACACCATACATGATTACTGATTAGGTCCATAAGTCACATTTACAGGAAGAAAAAAAAATCTTATTTTCTTAATAACTACATTTTATCACATGCATCAGGACCACCAAGCACATATACTAGATAGAATACAGGTTAAATAATCACATTTTCACATCCACATGTTATCACATGCATTGGAACCTTAATATGCATGCACCAGATGGAACACAGAATCAAAAAATCACATATTCTAGATAACCACATGAGATGAGAAACAAAAACACTTTTTCCATAGATTACCACATGTATTTGAACTAACACAAATACTATAAGTAGGGTATGAAGGGAAAACATGTAAACCAGAACCTGGCCTGGAGTCTGTTCTATCATTAACAGAAGCATAGTGAAGGATCTGCCTGCAGAATACAACATTACCAGAATAAATGATAAAAAATTGCGATGGATACGGGAGCCTTAACTCTGCATAAACTATTTTAGAATAATATTTCCTAATATTTTTACATAATTGCATGTATATAACACACATATATAGATATATGTATGTATAACAAATATGAATATTATGTAGTGAAACAGATACACTGAATGAGAAGAATATATGATGTAATTGGGTTACTTCTGATATTATAAATTCTTATTACCATATACATTATACATATATGAACTGCAGGGTGAAGGGTAAGTAGGAGAATAATGATATTTACTGGAACTAAACACAGAATACATAATTCAACTCATTTCCATTAAGCAAGAAGAAAATAAAATAAAATAAATAAAAATATTGGTTAAAATCAAGATATATTTTTGAAAATACACAGTGGGGCTGAAAAAAATCAAGATTTTTTTGCACTCAACCCGGGGACTATTATTTTCTGAAACTGCATGTCTCTACAAAACTAAGGAGCTATAAACTCAAAATTCTCCTATGGGATAGTGAACAATTTTATAATTCAAATAATTTCAAAAATCCCCATAGGAGAATTTGGTTTTGTAGCTCATTAGTTCCGTATGAATTGATGATTTTTTTGTTTCAAGCCGAAACATTACATTACATATAAGAATAGGGTTGTAGCTTGTAGTTCACAACTCTTCAAGGTTTATAGTCTCACGCTGACTATAACTTTGCATTCTTCGGGAATAAAAACAAAAATGACTCAAATATTTTAATGCCTTTCTTTTCTCATTGTCTTGCCCCACAACAAAATTTACACAAACAAACAGAATTTTTTACAGGAAGCCATAGATTTTTTTTAAAATAAGAAGTAAATGCTGTCAGAAACTTACATTCAACAATACTACTTGTTCATTTAATTTAGCAAAGGTTGAATTGAAAATATTTCAAAAATATTATACTGAAGACGACATTTCAGGACATCTGATTTTATTTACACCTCATTACATGAAGTCCCAGACTTAATCATATTAACACTGTAGGTCTTCTGATTTACTATGTATATTTTTTTCTGTTCTCCTGCTCTTCTTTTCTTCCATTCTCTAGTTCTTCTGTTCTCTTGTTCTTCTATTCTTCCGTTCTCTTGTTTTTCTGTTCTCTCTCTCTTCTTTTCTCTTGTTCTTCTGTTCTCTTGTTCTTCTGTTCTCTTGTTCTTCTATTCTCTTGTTCTTCTGTTCTCTTGATCTTCAATTCTTCCATTCTCTTGTTCTTCTATTCTTCTGTCCTTCTGTCCTTCTGTCCTCCTGTCCTCCTGTTCTCTTGTTCTCTTGTTCTCTTGTTCTCTTGTTCTCTTGTTCTCCTGTTCTTCTGTTCTTCTGTTCTGCTGTTCTACTGTTCTCCAGTTCTCCTGTTCTCCTGGTCTCCTGGTCTCCTGTTCTCCTGCTCTCCTGTACCAAATATCATGTAAACATGATATTCTGTAAACCTGCAGTACGTTGTACATTATTAACAATTTATGTTGTAGACTTATACGTAATGACATTATTCATTGAAACTGTGTTTCAATTTAATACGTAGAATGATTAGATTAAATCATGTGATATACTTAAATTACATTATAAACTGTGTGGAGATAGCTTTAGTACATTATATCTATTCCCGCTAATCTTATAAATATGTACATTAAACTTTAACTGTGCAGTAATAACATAATATGATTCTCTTAATCACGTGATATAGATAACGACATAAGAATTGTAATTATGTCAATTCACAAGTACTGTTGTGACATAAGATATTTAAATAAAGTTAGTTTATAGAGAAACTCAGTACTGTTTACTGTGAGAGAGTAATCCTGTAATCCTGTTTTGATAAAACAGGATGGATAGTCACCATCATTTGGGATCAATATATAGCTTGTTGATAGCTAGGTTTGTGTCCCTGTGTGGCATATAGAGCGGATCATCCCCATCATTTGGGATCGATATATAGCTTGTTTGATAGCTAGGCTTGTGTCCCTGTGTGGTATTTAGAGCACTGAACCAATAGCTTGTTGGATAGCTACAGAAACAGAGCCCAGTGATAGAGGCGTTGATAGTTAGTGGGATTGTATCCTGGTTGACTTTGATAGCAGACGGGTTGGATCTGGATAGATTTGTTTTGAGAACTTGTTACTAAGTAGGTGTTTACTAAACTCCTGTTCTCTTTTTCTTATGTTCTTATGTTTTTATCCTGTTCCCCCTCTAGTCAAGATGACTAGCAGGACGAATACTTGAATTAAATGTTGGTAGGTATAATCAGCAATATACCTTTATTTAAAACCCATTCATCATCCTTAATATTTGGACAATACTGGCCTTCTCAACAATTCATTCAGAGTTAAGAGTTGAGAGTTAAGATGACAAGTATTTTATTCTAATTTGAAGATGAATAAAGAAGGAAGAAGTTTATGGGCACAATTACTTCTAAGTATATGAATGGGAATGATGAGGGAGGATAAGGATGAGATAAGTTAGGAAAATATAAGAGTGGAAATGGGAGTAGGAGGATAAGGATGGGATGAGAGTGGAAGGATAAAAATGGGATGAGGAAGAAAGGTTGGGATGAGGAAGGAAGGAAGGATAAGGATGAGGGCTGAAGGTAGGATAAAAAGTGAGATAAAGAATGAAGGATAAGGACGAGGAAGGATGGAATGACTAGAATGAGATAAGGAATGACTAGAATGAGATGAGGAAGGAAGAATAAGGATGGGATGAGAAAGGCAGTATGGATCAGAATGAGAATGATTGTATTAGGTTAAAATCATGTAAATGAAATGTATCCCCCCTCCCTCCCCTCCAATAATGCCAAGACCACCATCTGCTTTGTCCTCGTTTTCTTTTTCAGCAATTAAATGGTTAAAACATTCACGACATTTTTACAATGTAGAGTTTGTGCCAGATTGCAGATTCGTACAATCTATTTACTGTTTTATATTCTTCAGTTTACGATCCAACCCATGGTGAGTTTGGAGTGTCTCTCCTATTAAAACTGAATGGATGTGCGTCTATAAAATAAAACCCTAACTTTCTATATAACGTTTTCTATTGGGGATAAATTTATAGGGAACAATAAACTTTAAGCTGGAGTACCTTTTTGCTATGATTTTAGAATAGAATTAAGCCCTGAAAAGGTTTAGATGGTTGGTTAACAACTGAATCCGTGAATACGCTTTGCTAAAAGTACATGGGTAAATAATCTGGTTCTATTTTTGAAGAACAAACCTCAAATTTATAAAAGTAAGTGTTTAAATGTAAAGTGCTATCAAAGATGTAACGTGTATCTGTGATTGTAAATCTGTGCTTCTTAATCTTATACCAAATACTAAGCGTTTTTAATATCGTCTACGCAACAGTCCATCTGGAGAAATAAATTAAAAAATAAATATTCTAATCCTTTTCAATGTTTTAGACATTTATATTCCAAGCTATAAATTTTGCCAATTCTTGTAATCAAAGTTTAAAATATTAAATGTTACTCCTCTACAGGGTGGAACTTTTGTGATGAATTTATTTATTTATTTCAGAGGTGAAACACTGTCATTCCACGATTAAACCCAGTCATCTTAAAAGTTTGCCAAAGGATATCGAGTCAAGCTTCATTAAAGGTGAAAAAAAGAGAAGAAAAAAATATGACATTCCATTGCTGAATGATATATGTTAATTCTACCAGACAAAGAATAAAATTAAGAATATATCAGTTTATTCCATAGATGGAATACATGACTTTCTCCAGCTTTCTAGACTCAACCTCCCCTTCTGACATCTAGCGGAGTATTTATGTATAAAACTCGAACAAGAAAGTGAAAGAGGGTAAAATTAAATCTAAAAGTCCATCAAAACGAAGAAAAACATAACATTTGTTGACCGCCCTAAAAAGACGATTTTCTTATTAAAAAGTCTTATGTTTGAAAAATCTAATATTTAGCAATCAAATCTGAAGTTGAAGTTAAACAACATAATAATTGCATTGATGCAAACAACATAATAATTGCATTGATGCAAGGTTAAAGAGAATGTCATTGTAATTTTAAATGATTTAAAGAGTGAAATCCCCGACAAAAAACTGATATGAAATAGTTTTGATGTTCCCCCCCCTTTTCTTGTTTAAGTAGAAACAACTTTTTAAATGATCTCCTTTCTTCAATACAACAACAAATTCAGATTTTACATCTTAATAAAAATGTGTTTTCTTTGTTTGTTATTTTGAAGGAAAAGGCACAATAAGAAACCTCTTGAATATGTTTTTTTCGGAATAGATTGGTTGATTAATTAATTCTACGATTGATTGATAGATAAAATTTCTGTATTGCGTAGAAAAGGTTAATTTTTCATTTGAAAGTTAAATTTAATCCTAAACATCTTAAAACTTAGATCTTTGAACATTTATTTTTAACATTAAAGGAGAGATTTTGGTTTTAGAATTATTGGAGATTTGGATTAGAAAAAGATCAAACTTTTCTTTATATTAAAAAGTTTTTTTTTATGATTTACAACTTACAGGGAAGTTAAGGGAATTAAACATTACCAAGGGTTCCCAAGACCAATTTTGCTATGAAAATATCAAGAGCGCAGTGCTAAATTAGTCAAGGGAAACCGCAGTTACGTAAAATTTTTAATTTCCCGAAAAAGTAGTGCTATTTTTTTTCACGAAAACTTCGCAGAGCCTGTCGGTATTTACTTAATTGCCCCAAAGGACGTTCATTAACTTAACGTCCCTCTGTTGGGGGAATCATAGGTCTGTAATGTTGGTGAAAAGGCGGTGAAAAATGTTTGCTACCTGACTGTTCTGTTCTAAACTGGTTGTATTTGGTTGGTGAGAGTTTAAGGCAGGATAAAGGAAGTAAACCTTCAATAGGTTCAGGTCTACTCTCCTCAGCTAGTGAACTACTCAACCTCACTAGAGCTAGGTCAGGTGAGGTTAGATCTAGCACCTCGACCTGCTGACCTGACCTCACACTAAGATGACCCTCTACTCCTGTATGGTCAGCTATAACCAGGGTTAGTTCACCACACAGCGCCTGAAATGCAAAATATAATATTATAACATGTTTTATATTACAAAGTATATCTCTTAATTATTCCTATTTTCTTCTATATAACTATCTAAAAAACAAAATATCCTCTAAAGTGATGTTTTTAAAATCTTTAGTTTACCCTACTTATTGCTTCTTGTTATCTATTTAAGATTGTTGATCAAAAACATTAAGTTTTAATCCTTAGCCTTTCTTGGTAATTTATTCCTGATTATTTTTAACTAGATTTGATAAATATTATAATTTTCCAATATTTGTTTGTCTCTGTCTCTCTCCTATGTTTGCCTGCCTCCAATCCCTTGTATGTACTTTGCTTACATAACACGTTATTCTGCAAATATATCTGATTGCAGGGATTGTCTGTTTGTTTGATAAATCCATTTATCTCTTTGCTCTGATCCTTCGACCTTTTCTAAACTGCAACCCATTCCTCATCCTAGTTCTACACTTACATAATCTCACATTAGTACTTTACAGGGGAGACAATATCTATTTCATACTTTTGCTATGGAAAACCACATCATTTTATTCAAAATTCAAGGACAATACACATATAACGTTGTAATCTGTTTGGCTGTCTGTCTGTTTGTGTATCCGATCATAACTTTTGAACCCCTCTTGACCAATTTGACTTAAATTTTGATTGGGAAACTGCACGGGATAGGAACATTTCAGCTTTTGTATCACAGTAGGCTTACTTGATTTGGAAATAATGTAAAAATTGTATAATTGAAACAAGAAAGGATATGGAAACATTAAACCTCCTGTAGGGGAGAGTGGGCCAACCAAAGAATTCCTTCAGTCAATAGAAAACGGTTCTGGAGAAAAGCCCAATGTCATCCCTGATAAGTGACTGGCCAAACTGTCTAAATCTGCAGGTTAAGAAAAAGTTTGATTTCGGATGTCCAAAATTCAAATAAAAAACTCTGGAAAGTAAAAATGCAATGATCCCCATTAGACTGCAGAATGAGGAGACGGCATTTGCGCAATTTCGTGTATACTTAATGTTGAAATGAAGCAAATAGTTTTAAAAATTAACTCATTAAATGAATGGGTCTGTTTCCACCGCACAGTTCCTGTACGTTTGTCATGATCACTGGACTATTAAAATCATTATTTAAGTCTTACAGTAGTTCTCCTATTCTACAGTTTTATGGGCTCCACTGTAATCATAGCAGATTTTTGGACAGAAGAAGATTTTACAAAATTAAAAACATTATAGATTTACGACGGTATCCTTGAGATTTCAAGTATGATTTAGATATTAATGCTTATAAAACTATTAATTTCCAATTGTAGTTCTTTAAAAAAGTGATAAAACATTTGTAAACATGTAAACACGACGTCATCTTCTATAATATTGGTTACATCAAGGTTTCAAGGGTATGCCCTCTTTAACTTGAAATTATAACGAGAGTCCCTTTACCTGAAAGTTCTATCAGGACTTCAGGTTGATGAGGTCATTATTGAAAAGTTTAACAACTCCAATACTTTCCAAACCTTTCAGAAGCACATTTTCCAAATGCAATGTCAACCTTAGCTCGAAGAGTAACAATGTCAGTGGAATACTTTGAAAGGTTTTAACGGGTCTTAACTAATATAGATTCTTTAAAGTATAAACTTTTATTTATTTTCCCACCACTGAAAAAAAAATGTGAACAGATTTCAAAGATTTTTAAAAATGAATATTTGGAAAAAAAAACAACGATTTGTTTGAATGCAGAACCAAAAATCAGTGAAATTCAACTATGAAGAGGATTTCATACTTTACAACTCAACTAATTCTTCAAAAGTTTCATGAACATCTTTATAAATATATAGGTTGCAACAACTGGAAATTACAATTACAACTCATGAGTAAAATGTAGAAGAAATACAAAATTTATTCATCAGTTCTTTAAATATATAAATAGTTAATTATAAACATTAATCTATAGGAAACTGCTGTAAAATAACAATTTTAGTAGTGTACTTAATCTACAACAAAAGTTGCATATATAGTATTTTACAGAACATTATATTTTTGGTTATAAAGAAAACTATTTACACTATTAACATATTGTTCAGTGTACACTGTCCAATTCAGAAAAGTACCCTTAACAACTTTATCTGATCAAGATCTAATGTTACAGAAATAATGAAGGAAAATGTTAGAATAAAACAATGAGATCTAAAGTATAAAGTTAAAGGTTTAAAGGTATTCTTGTGAATCAGCTAGGCATGTCACTCTTTTAATGCAGGGTCACATCAACTATCATATACGCAGTCCTCTAAAGCTTAGACGGTATTACTTAAAAACTGATATTTTAAACTAGAAAACTTGAATTCCTATAGTTTACAGTTTATACCTTACACCACACCTTGATGCCCGCTACCTGGGGAGTGTGGGTGGATATTTTATCAATAATTTAGACATAAACTTTCAACAGAATATGGGAAAACTATATATCGGGGGGGGGGGGGGGGGGAGTATGTCACAGTTAAAGATTTAAACAAACTGTAAGGGTATACTACCACGTGACCATTGATACAAAGATAGCTATGCCATATTTACATATCCGTACCCTTAATTGCTATAACTGTTCAGCGGGTACAGAGATTTCCATAATGTGTAAATCTTTTAGGTAGCGCTTGAATTTCTATAAAACCCGGTGTACGCTGCGTACTGTGTGTTCTCATGACTGCAGCTGTTCCTTGTGTTACTTTTAAATAAAGATACAAACTATTTTACGTTGATTGCGGTTTTCAAAAATTCTTAGGAAAGTATTTATTTTCTGTCACTTAAAACAACTTGTATCAGTCTAAGGTTTGAAGGGAACTGTTGTGAATAGGGTTGTAAATATTGTATTAGAACTAATCTGCTAAGTATACTGTAAAGAGTACACACATAAATAATGAGGTTTAGCTTCCTTTAGGTACATGACTACATGAACATAGAGGTCTCCAGGGACACTAGTTTAGTATTATAATAAAGAAATATGGTTCTCAAGTCAACACTTCTATATTCTGTCCAACATATAATGATCATACCAAAGATAACAAAGACACGAAGTGGCCCAAAACCTTGCCAAAATATTAAGTATCAATGAAAAGAATAGAAAAACTATTTAGAACTTCAATTTAAAAGTGACTTTTTTGGCCAATCTGTTTGGCCAAATATTACGTTTCCTTAAAAATCCAAACTATTCGAATAAAATGGTTTTAAAGGAACTGAGTTTTTGACACGAACTCACATTTTCTAACTCTATATCTTTGCAACCTGATGATGTAAACCATTGATATTTTTAACTTAAGACTATTTGATCCAATACATTTTATAGTTTGAAATATCAAAGGTTTAAACTATCAGGTTGCAAAGATATAAGGATAAGTAAATCAGAGTTTGTGGCAAGAACTCAATTCTTTTGATCTTCCACAGAGTTACCGCTTTTAACAGTTTAAGAATCTATTGTCAAACAGAAAGTTTACTGCCGTAGGAAATCATGAATGTCGACTAGGAATTCTCATGTTTAACGGTTAACCCTGTATTCCCATCTCCAGCGTATTCATCACATTTTCATAATTTGGCTGATTTGTGATTATATTAGGAGCCTGGGGATATTCTAACAGTTAGTTGCTTAATCTATGCAAATCAGATAATCATGTATTTCATTATAAAGATGTTCCATATAGAATAGAATATTGAGATGCATCTTCATCAAATCTTTGTATTAATTAAAAAATGACCGAGTAAGGGAAATTGATTACTTTTTAATCTGATAATTGGGAAAAACAACAGCCCTGAGAAGGAATTGAATTACTGAATTTAAAAAGAAAAACATTTTCGTTTTTTATGTTTTAATCTTTCTTCCCATCCTGATTTTCATTGTATAAGTAAATAGCGCACTGTAAGTGCAACTAGACGTATATTTTTCAAGAAAAATAAATAGAGTAGATAATGAATATGATCGATGATTTGATGCAAATTTAGAAATGAGAAAATAGATCGATAGAAGGTTGGTTAAATGATGGATGACAGGATGGATCGAGGGATGAATATTATTGCAAGAATATAAACATAAGGATGAATAGATGTAAAAATGTATAAAAGGATGGATAAATGGATGAATAAATGGATAAATATATTTGAACAGCAGGGTTCCAACATATTCTCACGCAACAAATATCAAGATATGATATAAGGAATGCATAAATGAGGTGAGTAAGGAAGGATGGATATATATATTATATAAACTAAAAATGTTTATTAAACTCAGGAGGGCTAAACAAACATTGAAAGCAAAGTTCTTTAAAATTGTTTGAATTTGTTTTCTTAATTTAAAACTGAATAAAGCATTTGTTTACTACATGAGATACAAAAGTGTGGGGGGATGGTGTTTTCAAAGTTGATTGTGTTTTGAAGAGGTGGAAGGATGGGGGGGGACAAGAGGAGGTAGTAAGGGTATTCTATAATCATTAAGAAGGATAGAAGGGGGGGGACAAGAGAAGGTAGTGAAGGTATTCTATAAGTATTAAGAAGGATAGAAGGGGCGGGGGAAAAGAGAAGGTACAAGAGAAGGTAGTGAGGGTATGCTATAAGCAGAGATTGTATTAAGATTGTCATTAATGAAACATAATAAAGCCAGAACACAGTGTGATCCATTAATAATACACAATAAACCAATCAATGAGAATCTATGGGGAACACAATATAGTAAATAAAATCTCATTTTATATTGGTAAACGATGTGTTGATACACAACTTAGTCAGTTCACAAAAAAAAGTTATATTATCAAGGTGATATAACATACAGACACGGGGGGGGGGGGGAACTTGATTAAAAAATCCACAAATCAAACTTGTTAATTTTTAGATGGGGAAACCTTGATACAATGTGTTGAACAATGTGTTTAAGAATACAGTTCCTTTTTTTCTGTTGCTCAACGACAAAATACACCTTGCTTAATTCTTTTATATTATTTTAATTATAATCCTGTATAGAGTT